TAATTACTTTCTGTCTTGTCATGCAAATATTCGTATGTAGTCTATCTTGTGTATAATTTAGATGTTATGCATAATTAATTTTAATTTATACATGTGAAACTGTAATAAGTTGTTTTTATCAATATAAATCAAAAAAAATTTGATGTATGTAAATATAAAATTTTTAATTAGAGCTTTACATAAATCTCTTGTGAATTTGCACACACTTTTGGACCATTTTTGTTTAACTATGAACATAAACTATGGATATATATACATATATCGTATGATTATGGATTAAAAATTCTTCATTCAGTCAACAAAAGGGTTACTAAATGCATAACAATATCTCATGAAACCGTGTTGTGTGATGTCCTCTTAAGTGTAATTAGTAGATTATGGCACTTTCTGGATTCAGAGAAAGAAAGTAACATTTTTTTTAAATTAAAAGATAGTATGCTTACTTCAATGTAAAGAATAAGATATGCCATTAATAAGGGAAAACAGTATCCCTGAGTAGGCAATTGAAAAGTAAAGTGCTCTCCCGACGAGCGAAAACCAAACTCTACAAGTCCCTCTTCATTCCATTTCTACTATATGATGCAGAACAGTGGACAATGTCCCAATCTGAGGAGTCGGCATTAGAAGCTTTCGAGAGAAAGGTTTTGCGTAAGATTTGTTGTGTTTTACCCGTTGGCAACGGCGATTATCGCAGGCGATGAAACAATGAGCTGTACGAGTTATACGGCGATATTGCTATAGTTCAGCGAATCAAGAAGCAGCGGCTACGCTGTCTAGGTCATGTGGTCCGAATGGATGCGAATACTCCAGCTTTGAAAGTTTTCGATGCAGTACCTGCCGGTGTAAGCAGAGGAAGAGAAAGACCTCCAATCAGTTGGAAATACCAGATAGAGAAGGAACTGGCTGTACTTGTTAATTTTAACTGGCGCCGAACAACCAAAAGAATAAAGGAATGGCGCAATGTTGTTAAATCGGCGTAATTGCATAGGCGCTGTCAACGTCAGTAAAATAAGTAAGTATCCGTCAAATGGCCGTCACGGCTAGGCTTACAGGACCGTATTCTTTTTATGAATTTTTCCAAATTGGCTGCTGTATGCCTTCAAAAGCTTTATGTTCAATTTTTAGTTCAATTCAGTGCCATCAAATTCCGGACGTAAGAAATCATTAACCATCTCTCGATTGCGCAATTTATTCACCGTAACTGTTGCTCCCGCCTCACTTTCGAAAAAGTAAGGTCCAATGATCCCTCCGAACCATAAGCCGCACTAATCAGCTACATGTTGAGGATGGAGAGGCTTTTCAATAATAAATCTTGGGTTTTCCGAGACCAATGTACGAAAGTTTAGTTTATTGTGGGTGTAGCCATCGAGGTGTAAATAAGCCTTATAAGTCAAGATGCTTTTTGATGATATTCCGAGCTAATTGCAAGCATTTGAAGTACCTAATCAGCAAAGATACGACTTTGTTGATGATTATTGTTGAGTTGTTGTATTAGTTAGGAACCCTGAAAAATAAAGTTTTTCAAACATTTTTCACGAGAAAACTTTTAGCTTTATTATTTTGGGCATTTGTAAACATATTGTGGCATCTTTGAAGAGTGGAAGGCAGATTTTGATTTATAAAAATAACAGTTTTTGAAGCTGCTACAGCAGGGCCGATTACGGTGGCCATTGTATTTCTGAAGTGAATCGTCTGAACTGAAAAAGTCAAACGGATTTCGTTAAAGTAATGTCCAATCTTGTGGTTAATCGAAGGAATCCCATACAAAAATTTCAATTTATGTCCATAATTATGGTCTTGAATTAAGCATTAAAGAAACTTTTCATCGATAATGAAAAAGCCTCGATTAAGTACTAGAAAATATTATTCTGAATTCCGTGTAAAAATTTGAGACTAATCGGTTCAGCCGTTCCTGAGAAATCTTGGCCACATAGTTTTGAAAAAGCGAGGTTCAAGTTTCAAAACCGCATTCAAATGCTTCGACTCGTCGTTACAGATACGCATCTAACTTCCTTAATAACAGTCGGATCGGTATTTACGTAAATACATGTACATTACGAAAATGAAATTAAAAATAATGAATTTTTTTTAAATTCTAATTAGATGTAAGTCTTATTGCAAAATACGGTGTATTGGAGTTTGTGGAATGCCTAGTTCCAAAAAACGGCTAGGAATGGACAAACCTGGCTTTTCTTTGGTCTACAATAGCAATTTTTTCAGTTGTTCTGGAGCGACGTGCGCGTTTTTTATTCTTCACACCATTAACTTCTCCCAAAAGCTCCATTTTTACACCGACTTCTATAACGCAGTCCGACAAGGTGGTTAATTGCCAGGTTTTCACTGACAGGTGATTGCCTGAATTGCCGCTTCATCGATTACCAATTTGGCAGCTTCATAATCTCTGCTTGGAAAACACAGTAGTAGTCATTGATAGAGAAGGAGAAAGAGGCATTTACCCGACAAAAGATTTCCGTTTTCCCTTTTTGAAACAAATCCACCAATTTAGTTCTAGTTTTGTATATTTTTTTTAACCGTATAAATATTATTGAAATCTATTGAGAGGACTTCGAGGTTACAATAGTCACCTCTTCGAAAAGAATCGATTTGAGAAAAAAACCATTTGTTGCAGAAGAAGACTCTGAAATCCTGCTGAACTGTCTTAGAGTCCTCAAAAAAAGGAAAGTTTTTCCTCTCATTGGAATTCCTGGTCTCAGTAACTTAGATATGAATACGGTGAATGCGTTGAATTTTCTAAGTAAAGCACCAACAATCAGATTCTTTCAAATAAATTTTCCCACAATTCCTATTAAAACAGCAAGAATTGATTGATCGGTACTTAAAAAAAGTGTGTAGATCTAAAGCGAGCAAATGTAATTTTTATGCATTACAATCCATTCATTTAATTCTGTTGACTAAATGTTGCTTATACGACATGGTGAACCTTTTATTTTTATGCTAAGATTTATACTCTTTAAATAACCTGAGAAAGTAAGGCGGATACAATAGCATTACGTGCTGTCATTCTGATGGTCGTTCAGGCCAGGGTTCAAGTCACTTTTCGACCAACAGCCATTATTAAGAGAATTAATTATCTTATTGCAGTCACCCGTCGGCAGGAAATGTCAAGTCAAGTTTATCTATGGCATGGCATGAATTGTATCTATGGCATACTTGGGGCAACAATTTCTTACAAAATATGCTCTTTTTCCGGGTTTCCCCTTATTTTGGTCAATACGTCAGTCGTTGTCTTTCAGTTGAACTAGCTTCCTTGAGTTATCAGCGTATACCCTGGATTTCCAATAGCCCCACAAAAAAGTCTGACGGCGTCAAATCGAGTGACATCGGAAGTCAGTCAAAAACATCGTTTTTCGATAAGACTGGTACGGAAAGCCAACTGATCATAACCAATCGATAGTTCATCGAGATATAAGGCACGCTACATCATCCTCTTGAAACCAGAAGCCATTCAAACCATTTTCATGAGCAATAATGGGCATCACAAAATCCATTATCACGACTCCCTAGCGTTTGCCATTGACGGTTATTGTTGCACAATCAGCTCAACCCTGATCAGCTCATCCGTGATCTAGCTCATAGTTGAGCAGAAATTCATGAAGGGTATAAATACTTCGGCATGTTAGAATACAGCACTTTATCCTCGTTTGATTTTTAACCGACGCAAAAGCAGATTCTCATTTCATAATCATATAATTATAAATATTAAACCCCATCACCTACAGACACTTACATCGAAAAAGTATTCATGCAAAATTTTATGCTCATGAAAGCAATAAACTGGCAGATATATACATATAGTATATTTAATATTATATATATATTTTTTTTTTTTGAGATCAGTCAATCGTCGCCAGTCGACAATAAAAGTCAATACAACTAAATTGAGTGTAAACAATGCACAAGCACTGAGGAACACTCATATATACAATATTTAATAAAATTAAGAGTTGGCATTTGAAATCGATGAAATCATAAATTTAAGCTTTCATATAATTTATTATTATCCGTTCAAAGAGCAAAGATGGAGGACATAACTAAATTAACCGTTACGCTAACATAAATAATCGTAATAAAAGTGACCAAAGTTACACACACACATACATGCATCCATGCATCCAATAAATATGTATGTATGTATGCAGTGAAAGCGCAAATCGAAAGTAAAGCAAATAAAATAACCAAACAAATGCAAATGGAAATTAAAACTAGAAAGTGCAAGCAATTGCACAATTCACTTCTACTTCAGCCATCGCATTCAATATTTGTATGTAAGTAAGTGTATGTATGTATGCATGTACATCAATGCTATCGCCACACCTCAGTTGAGACCAGCAGTAAGATTATATCCTCGCTTACGAGGACACCTACGCATAAATTTTTATTGTTGTTACTATTCCGTTTTGTGGGGATGGTACACACAAACATACATAAACGAATTGGCGAGCAACGATTACGCGGCACAAAAGGCAATATTAATTGAGTTAAACTCTTGTAGAAAGGGCCATTCTTCAGCAAGCGTACACAAGCATACGAGCGTGCATCAGGTATGATGTTTAAAAAAAAATTGTTTAATAATGATTTTGTAGTATTCAGTTGTTTTGCAGAGATGTGTTTATTTGGGGGTACTTTTTATTTTGTTAATAAATAAAAAAATTTAAAAAATTTATATATTTATTTCTAGTCGTAATAAAAAATCTGTAATATTATTTTTAATAATAATAAAAATAAAAATTATATTATTAAAAATAATATCAATAATAACAATAATATATACATTAATATTAATAATCATAATAATTTTCATAATGATAATAGTAATAAAAATAATAATCATAATAATCATAATAATAATAACTATGATAATAATAATAAGTATAATAATATAAAAATTGTGATAATAATAATACAAATCATAATAATAATAAAAATCATAATATTAATAATATTTAAATTAATAATAATTATTTTAAGAATATATTTACCTTCTATTTGAATGGATTATTATTCTTATTGTTAAAAGCACACATTTACATGTATTTTTTTTGAATTATTTTTGTTTAAAAAACTTTAATATTTTTTTTCTTCAGTTTTTATATTTTATTTATACACATTAAAGCAACGCTAAACATTAAAGTATTCACTCACGAACATTTGTTGCATGAATATTTCGTATTTCTCCTTTCGGAGCCTCCGCTCCTCTATCAATACCGATTTAACATATTACATATTATACTGATAGGCAGGCAATTCCGCACACGCGCGTTTCATTTCTTTTACTGCTTTCCACATTTTTTCAAGGACTTTGTCACTAAAACGGCGTTGGACGGCTGACGGAAGATGCCATGGTCATTATATATTGCAGCTGCCATCAGTTTATTTCTTTTGTTTTGGTTTTGGTTGGCCACGATTTATGTAAATATGTACATACATGCATACATATGCGTTTGCAAGCGATTATGTTTAGGCTTACACTTTGAGCATGAATGAATGCAGGCTTATATGTCGACTAATATATAATAATATGTACTCACAGGTATGTATGTATATGGAAGAGAATCCTCCAAAAATAGTCACTCAACAAAATCCCTCATGCAAATATTTCTAAAGGTGTATGTGCTTGTATTTTATAATAGATAATATATATATATGCGTTTACCTATTAGACAAACACACACACATTTAGTATACTAGCCAACTTAAGCTCTAATTAGTTTCACTTCAACTCTTTCATCAGTATTTCCGTATATGCACATATACTTATGGTCGTCTGTATGTTTATGCATTTTTTTTAATCTATCAACGCACAGGTAGCTTATTTAAAACCACATATTTTGAACATTTTCTAATATATTTTATCTGCCATACACTCACCTACTCCCTCACTCACTCACTCATTCACTGACTGATGCAAAATAAAATACAGTTATATTGAAATTTACACAGTTTTCTTTTCACAGAACAACACGTCAAGCTCACTTCGTTTACCGTCACTGACTGAAAACTCGAGCACGAGAGCGCCGTTGGTGAAGTGTCAAAACAAGCAAAGTGCAAGCAAACAGGCAATGGCAAAATGTAACGTATACGCCAAGCACACCAACCACTTTACGTAAGTTGAAGCACACACACCGGAATATCTGCGCGTGCCGGTTTATCACTTAACATAGCAGACTTGCCGCTTCCGAAGTGATGTCAAGTTGAGACAGCCAGAAAATGAGAGAAAGAGAGAGTGGGAGAGTGAGAGCGGAAAATTTGAAAAAATGGTAGAGTGTGTTAAGTTGTAAGTCGTGAAAATAATGACAGCTTTCAAAACAAGTAAATATGTATGTATGCATAGATGAGTAACTCCAAGAAAATGCAGCAGTATAGATTCCTATTTGATAAATCACAATTTTTCTTCATCAAATGGACTGGTTTTGTAAAAAAAAAAGATTTAAACATTGGTAAATTAGATATCTATCTATAAATAGGCATGAGGGTAAATAATTCATCTGCTGGCCAAATTCTAAGAATTTATTTGAGCTTTTTTTTATAAAAAAAAAAACAAGATAACGCAAGATTTTGAATTTAATGTGAAACCATTAATTTGTATAATAAATTTTAAAACTCATATTTTCTCATTGGAAGTCGAAAAAAGTAAAAAAATAAAGTTTTCATTAGTTAAAAAATTGGTGAAAATTGTCGCTATATCTGTGGAATTACTCGAAATTGTATATATTCAAAATTCTGTTCTAGCGTTTATCATTCATCATGTGATCTTCAACGCTTATGCTTTGTTGTTAATAGAAAATGAAATAAAAAAGTAATAATATTAAATTAAATTAAATTATATTAAACTATATTAAACTATATTAAATTAAATACAATAAAATAAAATAGAATAAAACAAAATTAATTTGAATAAAATATATCAAAATAAAGTTAAAGAAAATTATATTAAAATTAATTAATAATTTAAATTTAAATTCTATAAAATAATATTAAAATAATTTAATATATAAACAAACAAAATAAAATAAATGCATAAAACAAAATCAATTAAAATAAATTATAGTAAAGTTAAATTAAAGAAAACTAAATTAAATTAAATCATATAAAATAAAGTGAAACAACGTAAAATTAAACTAAATTAAATTAATTGAACTATGAAAAATAAAAAAATAATAAACTATAATAAAACAAATACAATGAAACAAAAACCATCAAATAAGTTAAAATATGGTTTAATCATAGAAAGTGAAAGGATATGAAATTAAATTAAACATAATAACTAAAATGGAATAAAGAAATTAAAAAAAAAATGTAAAATAAATCAAACCCAAATCAAATTACATTAAAATAAATTAGACTAAATAAAATAATTTAATATAATTAAACTAAAATTAAATTAAACTAGATCAAAAATATTGAATAAAGTAAAATAAAGTACTACAACTAAAAATTTGAGTTAAATTAAATTTAAGTAAATCAAATTGAATGAAGTCAAGTAAAACAAAATGAATTAAAATAGAGTTTAATTAATTAGTATAAAATAAAACAAAGAATGAATAAGCTAAGTTAAAGCAAAATAAAATAAAAACTTAAAATAAAAGTATTTAAAATAAAATAAAAGTAATGAAACATAATAAAAAAAAACTAAGCAATAAATAATATTGCATAAAATAAAATAAATAGATATATGTATGTGGTAATATTTTTAATAATATATTTTAATTAGTTAATTGGATCTATCCTAATCTACCGTAGATATTGATTGGTCTGTTTACTCGCAAATTCAACAGTATCTTTGACAGTGGTCTAAGATTTAAAACTAAGAATTATCTAAACTTCCTCGAAATTAACAAGCTACATGAAATTGACATTTGTAAATATGTACAGATCTTTAAATGTTCAATTTAAGTGTGTATTTTGAATAATTTGCTCAATGCCTCGGAATTGAGCGACATGAAGTGAATGAGCGAAGGAGACTCATTGCCCGTGATATACATATATTCTCCTGCAAATGCACTTGCTTTTGTTACCATATACATATGTACATATACAAGCCTTTAGTCACATACACATGATGCAATCAGAAAGCCCAGAGTTTCATAAAACACCTAAACACCTGTAGTACAATTAAAAGCTTTCAATGCCTACAAGTGGCAGTATAAGTATGCCAATATGTATGTTAGATTTTGTATATATTCGTACATACATATTATATCACCGAGTATAGGCCTTTCCACTTCATTGTGACTGTCAATAGCTGCAATTATAAGTGTTTTGAGTTATCACAACTAAGGGAAATGGTTTGCAGCAAGCTGAAGCTAATGAGTTTAATCCACTAAAAATTTCAATCATAATTATTTTTTTCTTTTTTTGTACTCATTTGTTTATAATTAAAAAAGACAAAAGTTTGGTAAGGAAGCTAGTTACATTCAAATAAAAACTGATTTTGAACAACATGAGCGTCATCTTGGTGGAGTTTGGAACTCTTACTTAAATTATTGATTTAAAAAATTTATTTAAAATCGTCTTGATGTTATATAAATATGTATAAGCGCAAGTTCTTATAAACTTAATAACTTAATACAAATCCACTATGAGTCAATTAAAAACGGGAACGGAAACTGCCTTGCCAATAGCGGTAAACTAATCGGGCATTGGCGTTCAACGTACTTTCAAAGGGAAATTGTATTGCTGTGAAAAATTGACGAAGAAGGAAAGCAAGAATTCGTTATTTAGTATAACCTGTAGGAAATATGGAAAACGTTAGGTACGGATGGAACACATCATCTTTACTTAGGGCTAATAAGTGCCGTTGTATGAAAATGATCCCGCAACGTGATACTGCGAAAATCAGCGCTCTCGCATTAAATAAGAGTAATCGTTTTCTTCTCCACATCACCTTTGCAGCTCCTGCTGTATTTCCTATAAGAAGATCCTAGACTTCGTGCCAGTCATTTCATCCGGCATGGGTCTATCATAACTCCATATACCTTGCATGAGTCCTCTATTTTGGCCGAATACATTTCTCGAAATATCTCTAGTCACATTTTTCTAGATTTATGGCAAGTTGTTGCTTTATGCCAACTGTTCTTCGTTGTGCCCTTTGCATGAGACATCGTGATCTTTACAGATAATAACCTACTTCGCCATGTCCTGCCTATCTGACATTGCAATGCCTACCTAGCCTAAAAGAGTTTTGCAATAGAAAGTTTTGTAAGATTCTGCCGCAGATTCGTATACTTAAAAGTTTGCGGTAAACGATATGGAAACGTATCCATGCATCTATTATATTATATCGCTGTGCAACAAAATTTCCTACTGAACCATTTTGTAAGCGTTTGGTGCTTTGGCGTACCAAATTATATTGGAAACGAATTGAGTTAGCTAGCGTGCGACAGGAAACAAAGTTTTAACAGGTTAGGATGTAGTTAAAGGTGATTTTGCAGTGCAAATTGTCACACAATTTATGAATTTGTTCACTTTGATGAAGATAAAGAAGGAGAATGGTTGTGGTAACTAAAGGAATTTAGAGAGCTGATTAAGAGGTTGTGAGGAGGTATACATGTTTGACTTGAAGTTATTTCGTTTAATTTCACTTATTTTACATTATTTCATTTCATTTTATTTTGTTTATTTCATTTATTTTTATTTTTTAGTTTTAAATAAATTTTATTTTGTTTTGTGTTATTTTATTTTTTAACCATTTTATATAATTTTATTTTATTTTATTTTATTTTATTTTATTTTATTTAATTTAATTTAATTTAATTTAACGTAATTTAATTTAATTTTATTTTATTTCCATTTATTGCATCCCGCTTAAGAGTGACTTTCATCTTTGGTGGCAGCTCAGCTGCAAGCCAATAATGAACATTTCAGTTAAGAATATAATAATACAAATGTGTGCTTAATAATAATTTACATTAAATTTGTTTTGATATTGCGAAAAGTTTCTTATTATATGACATGAATACAGCAAAGCTGCTTTTTGTATGTCAAAGATGATGTTATCTGGTAACTGGAGTTTCCGTAAATTTTCCTTAAGGTTAATATGCACAAGGTCATGCGCAGAGATGATGATTGGTAACAAGTATACTTTCGTCAACTTCCACTGACGTTTCGCATCTATGCCTAAGTCTGAATACTTGGCGATTTGTTCCGTATATGTTTTTTTCATATTTTTATTGAGAGGAGCCGCAATATCAATTATGAATGCAACCTTACTAGCCTTGTCGACCACAAATATATCGTGGCATTCGTCAAGACAGTTCTATCATAATAGATAAGGATGCTGGTATCTTCGTGTACAGGTTCCGGAATATATCTGTGGTACGGTATTTTATTTTTTGCGATATCATTATGCCGTTTAAGGTACATTGAGTTAGCAAGCGCAGTACACCCAGCGAGTACATGGTCTAAAGTTTCGCTTCTGCTGTTGCATCTACGACATTTGTCTGCAGGGGCGTTTATGTCTCGAATTACGTACTTGAAATAATTTCTGGTGGGAACGACATCATCCTGCATTGCAAAAATGGTGTCTTCTGTTCCGGCGAATATTGCTCGGTTTGTGAGCCATAAGTGCGACAGTGTTTGGTCGACAAACGTGCTCAACAAGTCTTTGCGATATGCAACTGCCACTTCAAACCACCTGAAATTTTTTTTATTTAATTAATAAAATGAAATAAAATGCAAATTAACAAAAATGAATCAAATTAGAAAAAGATAAAACAAAATGAAGTGAATTGAAATGAAATAATTCACTTCATTTTATTTTATTTTATTTTATTTTTTTAATTTGCATTTGCATTTCATCTGGTTTTATTTTATTGGTTTTAATTTATTTTGTTTTGTTTTATTTTATTTTATTTTTTTTTAATATAATATACTGGTAAAAAAATACAAGAGAATGTTGTTAATAAATCCGAATTAGTTTATTTAAAGCTCATATTTATATGAAAATTGTAAAAACATTAAATATTAAAGTGGTCGTTACATTAAGATATTTAAAAAATAATATTTTTTGTCATTTTGAAATTCATATAAAGTTATTTGAGCAATATTTTTCTCAGCCGTTTTTAAAAATTTTGAATATATTTTTTAAAGTAATAATAATAATTGTATGCGATATTTGATTGAACATTTTTCTTTTTTTTTCTTGAGGGCGTAACAAAAAATTTATGTATATATTTGACTGTAAGTTTCTGTTTTTTGTAAAAATTCATTTGAAAATATTTAGTTCGACTCTGTTGAAAACACTTTGGGAGTCAGTCCCTCGTTTTTTAAGGTCGCCGTCATATCGAACTGCAACAGCACTATTAAATAGGAAGTAGCGGCGCTTACAGTCTGAAATGAATATATTTTTGAAACGCAATAATTACGAAAATATTATACACCATTCTTAGCAATAACTCACCGAAAATATGAATGTGTAATCCAATGCAAAGAGACCGATCCCGTTAAACTGAAAGTAGCCCTCCCAGTGTAGGAACTGTAGAGTGAACGCTTTCATTTTATTATAATAAACATCATTGCCCAACATAAATGTAGGCTTCTTCTGCATTATTTCGTGAACAATCATGGCGGACTGCTTGGAATGTGCGTTTGTATTGCAGCATAGACGCAGCACAAAATAACCCACCATCATAGTGGTGAAGCTCCATATAACGTAGAGATAAATAACATAGTCCATTACATGATTCTTGCCGCCGACAATAAACATGACCTTTGTCTCCAGAAATATACTGAATATGGTGATAACGAAACACGCCGCCATATATGGCACACACTGTGCACCGAATTCGGCATTCACGAGCACACTCAATGACAGTATCTTATCGTGCAATTTGAAAAGACTCGGTAAGTTTTCTTCGGATGTCTTGCTGAAAATTGCAAAAAAGAAATAAAAATTAAAAATAAAATTAATTTTAATTAAAAAAAAATTATTAAATTAAATTCTAAACTTTAATTATTTTAATCAGTTCATTCTCACCCATCACTTAGCCGCGTCTCATCATATTCATCAAAACTATATGCCTCATCCGCAGAGTCTTCATCTTCAGCAAAATCACTATCATTATTATTACTTCTATCATCGGACTTTACACTTTTCTGCTTTTGTTGAAATCGGTTTTTTCTTCTCGCCAAATCACTTATAACCGCTGGCCCGCTATAAGTGTTGTCTTTATGTGCATCGTTTTCAATGTCCATTACAGCGATTGGTAAATTCCTTTTGTCACTCTCATGATTGATTTTCTCGAAGAGTATATTCAGCGTGGAAAACCGTTCAGAAATCACTGACACATATGAAGCGAACATGCCCTGAACAATACTACCGGCTACATAGGGAAATGTGAAAACCATATTCGATATGAAACAATATGGGCCGTAGTACCTTGGAATGGGGAAAAACAAGTGATTTAAAATTAAGAGATTTTCGATATGAAACGAGTGTGGAAAGTAAGAATGCTTAAAAAAAATATCTGAAGAATTTTAGCCAAAATCCCCTTGTAACCAATATTCCAGAACTTATGTCTTCTTTCGATGATCGATGGGAGAGTTAATGGCGGGTCTTCTAAAACTCGCTTGTGAGCCTCTTTTCCGACTGCCCTTTCATTGCAGTATTTTCCGAACCAAAGCCAAAACTATTATGGAAGCTACAGATTGTAACGGAGTTGATTAAAGGGGTCACAGAGTTGACTGATCTCTACATGAGGTGACCACCACAATCACACACTTGTGTTCTTGGCCACAGGGACTCAGAAAAAATTTTAAGAGACACAAATTTGCTAGGCAAAGCACCGCCAAAGAGATCCTTTCTGATAAAGAACTGATCAGTTTATGAAATATTTGTTAAGGGGTGATCCGAGCCAAAATTTGTTCAGCGATGAGTCCAATTTCTGGCTAAATGGATGCGTAAACAAGTAAGATTTGCCGCATTTGGGACGAAGAGCAACCTTAAGAGATTCAAGAGCTGCCATTTTGTACAGAAAAAACAACAGTTTGGAGCGGTTTGTGGGCTGGTGGAATTATCGGTTCATATTTCTTTAAAAATTATGCCGGCAAGAACGTAACTCTCAATGGCGACCGGTATCGCGTAATGATAACCGAATATTTGTTGCCTCAAATTTAAGCTCGTGACCTCGGCGGCATTGGGCTCCAACAAGATGGCGCCAATTCCCCCACATCGCATCAATTCATGGTTTTATTGAGAGAACACTTCGGTGAACAGATAATTTCACGTTTCGAGACGGTCGATTGGCCACCAAAATCGTGTAATATCACATAATTAGATTTTTTCCAGTGGGGATATGTAAGGTCTTAAAGTCTATTGGGACAATTCCGTTTCGATTTCAGGCTTTGGAGCAAAATATTGCGCGTGCGTCATTCATCAGTTACCAGTCAAAATGCTCGAACGGGTCATCGAAAATTGAACTCAGTGAAAATAAAAATTCCGCATTAAATTTTAATTTTATGTGTTTTTTTCTTCAAATAAGTAGAGAGCCTCCAAATGGATCACTCTTTATTTAAGTAATATACTTATGAGCAGACATATATGGACTTGGATTACGATCTGCAGCAGATTTATATTAACTGAAGTGGAATCGGGAGAGGTCGTAAAAATGTAATTTTTTGAAGGTAGAACACATAAATCCTGAGAGGTTATTGTTTTATCAGACGACAAGCAGCCTCTCTGAGTTCCTTTTAGGAAATCACAGTATTAAATTTGGCCTACTCTGGCATATTGATGATCTCATATAGTAAAATGTTTCTAATCCTAGTTTTGTCAACTATGTATGTACATAAGATGAAATAAATTTGGGTAAGAGGTTTAGAGGTGGTATATAGCATGAATATATTCTGCGGATCGTTGCAGTCTCACAAACAAAACATCTCTACTACATCTACATCTGAGATTGATGTTGAAGCGACTTTGAACCCAGCTCTGTCTTTCAGAAATACTGATATCGATGATCTTGCAAAAAACACCTTCGAAACTACAATAGGAGACGGGCTTCCAGCGAATTCCATATGCAAGGATTGCTTCTCATTGTCTTGCTTCTGTTAAGACTGTAACCAATAATAATCAGTAAGATGTACATTTGTAATACCGCAAATGTGCGGCGATCAATGATTAACATCCGCATCAACTCAACTCAACCATAGAATTCTTAAGCTAGATGCAAGCTCTAAACTACACCACAAGCACTAGTTCCACATTGGTTTCGATTAGGGAGTGGAGGCACAAGTGTATTTGAAACTAGCTTGCAATATAATACAACGCTATCTTGGACATGAGCCTGGAAATCATTTCCTCGTTAATTAGAAGGCTTAACTACGTCTAGGTGCTGTCGCAAGGGGATCAATTTTATATGTATTGGTTATCCCTTGCACAAAAGAAGACAGACTGTCGAGCAATAGTCAACGTCGCTATCCCGGAGGATAACATGAATATTTTCGAAAATATTATTGACCCTTACTACTTATTCAACATCGATAAATACAACTTGCTTTTCCAGCTTTCATATCAACTAAACTTAATGCAGCCATTGGCTTGCTCAATAGAAAGATTCTCGTGCAGAAAATTCACAGTCTTTTTCTTTAGACTTAAAACTCTAAACTAATGAAAAGTCCACTTGTCCGCTGAATGAAACTCTCAGAGCAGAATTTATACTTTTCATTTCTAGTCTGTAAAATCGCTCGCTGTGATGAATATCTCCCATCCTATTTTGTTCCTAAAGCTATTCAACGGTTGCCATTGGAAATAAATGCAATTTGAGGTTACATCGGTCTCTCCCAATTTTATTTAAAAGCAGCAAATACGTCCCAGTATACTATTTTTGGAGTTCAAATATTTATATACATACATACATTTGTATTTTTAATATATTTATAAACGAATTGAGCTTACTGTGACATTTCGTTGATATCATAGAATATTGCAAAGGCAAATGTCGCCAAAATGATGATCCATGTGAAGTAGTACAAGCGTTTCTTTTTCGGCACAAACAGCTTATTTCGCGTGTCAGCCACTTTGATGCATTCACCAACAAGTTCATCGATTTCGGTTAATCTCTTTTCAAATTCAATATAAAATCCTTTTTGACGCAGTAACGTTAGAAAGTAAATGGTTAAATAAAGAAAACATCCAACATGCATTAGAAGTTTGCTGCTCAGTGAGCAAATGCTATTGCAAGTGGGCAAATGGCGTACACTGAATCCGCTAAAATTTACGGTATAATAGCAAAAAAGGTATAAAAGTGGCATCACAAGTACGAGACTATAGTCCACGGCGATATTTGAGTCCACTTGAGTGCGATTGAAGGGCATTAAGCCAAAAATCTGAAATAAAAAATATGTATTTTATTATAAAGTAAACTTTAGACATGTGGTTGTAAATAAAACGCATATATATTTAATGTTATGATCACGTATTCAGCTTTGTTATAAAGATATGGGTTTGCCATGATTGAGGTGTTATAAAAATGATTTCGAGCAAGTGATCGCCGCTGGATCGAAAAGATTCCAGCTGAGAGGATCTATTTTCGAATAATTTTTTCAACAAATGGCCACAAAGCGCCGACTTTGGCTTATCTGCGCAGACAAGTGGATTTACTTAAACCCACAGAAAGTACTTCAGCGGTTTTGAATCACACGATCCTGTAGTGCACGTCACAGATCCACGGCATAAGATAATGCGTTGGGCCACACAGTCGAGTAGTTAGCATTCGGTACTGCCATTCGGATGGCCCGGTTTAAAATCCTGATATGACCAACAGTCAAAATTTATAGAAAATTAATTTTAATAAAAATTCAGTTAAAGTTACTACTTGCGGTCGCCTCTCGGCAGAAAATGTCAACACCTCCGAGTGCATTTCTCACATGAAATAAAACTCCTCGTAGAAAACTATCAGCCGCTCCTAGGCGGCTTAGTATAAACTGTAGGTCCCTCCATTTGTTTGAAAAACGTCAAGACGCAAAACCATAAATTGCAGGAGGAGTTCGGAATGAATTGATTCGTTGGCTGTCGCGCCGTTTTGTCAACATCCTCCAATTCAAGTACGAAAAATTAGCTAATAGTGGCTGCATAGCATTTCGCATTCACTTCCGTCTGTTCATACCACAGTGACTTTTGAGGATGTAACGGTCACTCAACAATGACTTGTGGATTATTTGCTTTCGCTCTAAGTGCGGCAATTTCGTTTTCATTAACGTTTCATTTAAACAAATGTGAACAGCTGAACAAAATTTTCTTGTGAGAATCGCGGGCGTGGCTATCTCTTTTGGGCTCATGCACAAAGCGTCAGACGCGCCAACTATCAGGCTTCCATTCTCTGCAGGTTTATTTATATTGCTATAATTCTAAGAGACCTAGAAGGACTTATGTCGAGAGGTGCAAATTGACATTAAAATTTGCTACTTAATTAAGCAAAAAAATGTAATAGTTTTCCCCAACTCTCGCCTATTCGACCTTAAGTATGACTTCTTCTAGGTAAAAATTGTGGAACAAAAAATAGATCTGCGTTAGAAATAAGGACGCAACACTCTCTCTTTCTCTCTCTCTATCTCTCTCTCTCTCTTTCTCTCTCTCTCTCTCTTTCTCTCTCTCTCTCTCTCTCTCTCTTTGCGACTTTAGAAAAGTATCACTGCTCTCTCAACTTCCGTTCCCTCGCCCTATTATACTTTTCATAACGTTTCATAACAGTTCACTCCTCAAATTGTACTGCAAAAACTTTATTATTTCCTTTTGCTCTCCTACGGATAACACCTCGTATTCGTCACATTCGAAAAATTTCTTACGAAAAGGCGTCACTATGAATCTTGACTACTCTACGTCAGGAACGGTGTTAAAAAAGATTAAACAGAAATAGCTTAGATCTTTGAATACTTAAGTTCTCCTGTTTATGTACAAGGGGAACGCAATAGCCGCCTGGTTAGCCTTGAGTTCTGTTTTTCAGAAGGTTAGGATTCGAGTCCTGGTTCGACCAAAATTATAAAGATCCTTCTCTACCTGATCTATGCAAAAGAGTGGAGATATTTCTTTCCATTTGGTTCAACCGATGGGTATAGCTCAAGAATTCTTACCTATACTGAGCCCAGGAATAGAGAACGCGGTCTATAAATAATAGGCAAAATCTTTGTCTCTAAAACTCCTGACATCGACTCATCGAATCTCGTCATAACCCATGCGTTCACACAAAAAAGCTGGACGGAAATGATGAACGAATTGTCGAGTTTCGAGAAAGTAGCAACTGTTGGGAAGAGTGACACTACGTTGAAATTCAAGGCTGAAATTGCAGTTAGTGCTAAAGCTCCAAGCTTCCAAGATAGACGAAATTATCTACGACTGCAAAGTTATGACTGCAACAGTGACGTGGAAGCCGAGATTCGTATGTTCCTCGTTCACTACCAGACGCTTCGCTTGCTTCTCTCGTCTAGAGAAAACAGCGTTCTTGGCGCGATTTTTAAGGCCAACGACGTCAATGTAATCGGCGGACGCCAGCAGCTGTACACTCTTATAGAAGATTATACTTTCTCGTTTTAGCACTCCAGCTCGTACTAATTTCTTCAACAGAAAATTAAAGAAATTACACGACAACTAGTCACCTTGTCTGAAACCTCGTTTGATATTGAACCACTCCGATCCTGACGAAGCTTTTAGCGTTGCTTAATGTCGCTTGTACTGCTAATACAAATTAAATGCTTAAGCACTACCACAATTAGGAAATTTATTTTAATGGCATATCCTGTTATATATATTATATAAGGGAATTTATAATTTGTTTAATTTATTTGCTCAAATCACTTGAATCACTGAGGATTTCTCTCTAGATGTTGCTTTATAAGAATAATTATAAATTAATATTATATTGTGATTATACTATATATTGCATATTTAACTAGTTTACCAATGAACATGTTTGCAATAATAAATTCATTTTTCCTATTTTATTTCCGCTCTTTGACCGCTCGGCTAAACGTTCTCTAATCCACTAAGAATTTCAACAACATGACACTGAGGTTAATAAATATTTATGTTAGGTTCATTTACATACATACATACATACTTATGCGTAGCTTGGTTAATATCAATAAAATTATTATTATTATACAAATAAAAATAACATTACTCAGTTATAGCAACAAAAATGCGTGCAACTATCAGTTCTAAACAATGTGCGATAATATCAATTCAATCAACTTAAACGACAAAAGGATCTCAATTAGTGTAATATGAATGCACACTAGGAGAAATTTCTGTAGAGTTTGAATAGATTTTGAATTCTCGGCGGTTATTTTCCTGTTTCTATGAGTTTCTATTTCCAATGTGAAATTTTTTTTCTTTAACTGGTTTGTCTTCCGAGTCAACATTTTTAACCCCTTAATATCATATGTATCAATATTATAAAAATTTTTAAGACGTGCGGTTCTCAATAAGACAAAACTTTTTTCGGAGTCGGTCTTTCTGACAGCTTTTACTCGATTTATACTCAACCTGGCTTGCCATCTTATATTAATCAAGCCTACTCTGGAACAATGTTTGCAAGTCTTGTAAATGTGTCACTAAAATAATGGTTTGGTTCGAGTTACGCATCGTGCACTGCGTTCAATATTCGGCCGACATAATCGCCCAGCAGAATCAGTAATTCAAGCAACCATTGATCGGGTTTGCATTAAGTTTACCCTAACAGAAGATGCGCCTCCTCAAATACGCCAAACAGAGTACACCGCGTGTGCGCCGAGTAGAACAGAGTATCCAAGAAGACTGAGTCCGAATGGGTACATCCAATCGCGCACTTCAATCCACTTCACGGAAAATTTTGCCGAAGAATCTTGGCTTGCAGGCTTACAAAATCCAACTCGTGCCAGAATCAAAGCCCAACAACCATCAAGCGCGTCGTACGTTCGGTGCATGGGCTCAAAACGAGATGGCCACTGATCGCGATTTTTACAAAACATTTTTGTACTTCGTTGAATTCTCACTTTTGGTTGAATGGGTACGATAATAAACAAAATTTTCACATTTGGAGTGATGATAATCCACAAGCCATTGTTGAGGCACAGTTACATCCTTACAAAGTCTTGCTGCTCTATGAACAGAGTGTATCTGGGATCCATATTGCTTCAAAAATGAAGACGGCTATAATGTTACATTCAATGCGAGACGCTATAGGGCCACGATGAATGAATTTTTGAAGTTTTCATGTATGCCCCGGAGGTCACTTGACCGAAATAAGTTTTAAACCGAAGTGGCAAATCTTTGCCTTCAAATTAAAGCTATTTCTTGGCAATGACATTTACTTATGCATACATATATATAACCGTTTTATTCCTTCTTGGAAACACACATGTCTAAAAAACACCCTTTCCTAGTAAACAACAAGTTCATTCGTGCAAAAAACCTCCAACGGGAGATCGAGATCTAAACTCATAGCTGATTTCATAACAATAAAGAAGTTGTAATATATTCCAAGTACGACCCGAAGGTAAAATATAATGGTTTGGTCCTGTCTTCCAAAGAGCAAGTTCTGTACGCTAGATACGACTGCTCTGAGCAACCACCCTTCCAATTAGTCCAATCATACCACGCTTAAACTCCAATAAGCAATAAAAAGTGTACACCTTCTCTTCCCAATTTATTTTATTTAGAGAAAAATATGATTTTACATAAAATATGTAGAAATGAGAGACACATAGTTAAATTTTAATCTGCTTTATTATGAATTTCAGACCATTTAGGTATCTGCCGTAAAGCCCAGAGCGGTATAATGCTGATAGTAAAGATGAAACCTCCTCCCAGCAAGAGAAAATCCAGATTGGAAAGTGGATATTTTGGCGGACCAGACCTAGTACTCTCATAGCCGCGTCTGAACATTCCGCCTCGTAATGTTAATTGCTTACGAAAAACCGGTAATAGTGCACGTGCCACGTTTTTACAAAACATCTTGGCGTGTTGCGAAAAAATATTTCCGCTTTTGTCTTGCTTTCTGTATCTTCAAAAATAAATTTGAATTGAATCAAATTTTTTTTTTCAATGATATGTTGTTGTTTTTTTTTTTTAATAAAGTTAACCAGCGAACTATCTGTAGTATTTTTGAATGATTTCCTTTCCTTTTTGATTATCTGGGCTTGCTCTGACCGTGATTATTGTTTTACCTAAAAATTAAGTGAATTACAATTTACTCTGAGCCACCTCCGAATGGCTGATGGATATTTATGTGGAGCTTTTATTTCAAGTCAGAAATACATACATTCCAAGATAGACATTTCCTGCCGAGGAAAATCCGCAACAAGAAAAATTATTTTTCTTAAATTTTAAATTTTGGTCGGCCCAGGATGCACATGAGTTTTCACTTGCCGCTTACCACTCTCCTATGGAGGCCTTAAATATATTTCTTGCTTGGTTGGGTCCAGAGCTTACCTTGGTAAGTCTTTGTTAACAAGAATAAAGTTAAAAACTATATATAAGGGAAAGGCTTCGGATTTAATTTACTTCGTTTGCCGCAACAGATGGCGAAACTATCATCTCAGCCGCACAACATGCCTACACAACGCACACTTGTAGTAACTTATATTTATAATTGGGGTTTCTTATTGAGCCTTTCATCAAACTTGTTTTTCATTTATATCGACTTTGTGCCGAGGTCTTCGTCCATTTGGTGGTTTTGCGTCTTGATGTTTTTGTTTTTGGAGGGATCTACCAGCTTATTTCATGTCAGAAATACCCTCGGAGGGGTTGACATTCCCTGCCGAGGGGCGACCGCAATTAAGCTTAATTTTTAACTGAATTTTCAATAACTTTTAGATGTTAGTACGAGACCAGGGTTTTCGAATGGTAGCGCGCAATGAAAACCACTCGCCTACCGCGGCCGCCAATAAGATATTATATCTCAAATCCCTTCCAAACTAATGAGCAACTGGTATTTGCTGTGTTCGGTGATCTGATGGGCAGTAACAATACTGCTACTAAATTATACTAAATCGCGTTCATTTCATTAGCAGGTAATTATTATTAGCATTTGTTGCCGAACAGACCTTTCTATCATTTCCACCTATTTAGCTTGGCAGCCTAAAACACATTTGACAACTTAACTAAAACCAATGTGGCAACACTTCCAATTGTAAACTTTCAGCTGATATTTCGCTTTTTATTTTGTGTCAATCCAAAATTGTTTGTCAAACCAGCCGGAGGTATTGGGAATTCGCATCTGCAGTTGGAAAAGTCGCATTGTTTTAAATAGTTTTTGTAGCTGCAGCTGCCTTTTGATTGTTTTCAACAATTCAATAAATTACTTAAATAAGCAACATGGATTCAAGTGAAAGTAATGCGGCTTCAATAAGCGTGACTAATGGAAATGCAGAAAATGCAACACCAAAAATAAGTTAGTTAATAGATTAAGGAATAGTAACAACAAATATAGGTGAAGTGTTAATGAGCTCTTAATGAAATTTCATGTTTCAGGCAGGGGACCGTGAATTCATTTAAAGAAAGATATGCATATAATGCATTATACATTTGTTGATACACACGTTTGTATACATGTGCGTGAAAAAATGATTGCATACGTCAAACAGCTGTGGTCTAACACAAAAAAAAACTTATTAAACGCAATCATATTTCCATAGATACGTATCTACGTCTATACTATATAGCCGACAAAGCTTTATGCAAATACATAATTGTGTGAATATGAAATTGAAATGTACATTTGTATATGTATTCGCACATGCTTTTGCAATTTCAACAAACTAGCTTGAGAAATTCACGAGATTTCGTAATATCATTATCACTTTTGCACAATAATATATGAATGAATTTATTTTTCAGACAGCAACGGATGCTGTAGAGATGACGATTCATGGAAGGAGATCAGCATTGAAGTGCCTTGGGGTACAGTAGCCGGTAGGCAAACTAGAATATTGCTAAATTAAATATTAAACTTAATTATTTGTTTATTTATTGTATTTAGTTATTGAAAAATCTTTTACTTCTGCGAGCTTTTCAATTCGTAATCTAACAAAAAGCTATTATTTCGTCCATTCATTTTGATAATAACCAGAATGTTAGATTAGTCATTTGCCCGCAACGACATTCTATGGTTGAATATACATTGTTAAAACATTAGGTTATATTAAATTATATATTTCATTTGTGAATATTGTGAGTTTTCAAATTTTAACTTTTATGTACACACAATGTAAACATAGTTGCACAGGTGATTATCCGGATTATAAAATGGTAAAGCTTTTTACACAACATAACTGCAATAAACTCCGCTTGTGCATGAGTGTGCCTTTTATCATTTTATGTATTTATTATTATTATGTTATTAACCCATCAATAAGGTGTTTTTGAGTAAACAAAAAAGAAACTTACTCGTATCTAGAAAAAATTGATGATAAGCAATTTGCTGATTTTTAACGTACGACATTACACATACAACCAATTCCATTTATCAGTGCAAAGCTCAGTCTAACTAATAGACGAGATTTGCTATTCGTTCGTTTGCAAACTGTCTTTAAAATAAGCAAGTCATTTATATCTAAGAGCGCATGTTAGAAAAAAAATGTATTTCCTTAATAAATTTATATGATGTATCTAGCTCTTATTTTATATGTATGTAGATTCAACTAAAAAATAATATGTAACACCTTTTTGTAGTGAAATTTCACTAAATATATAGCTTATTAAAAGGCGAAATGCTACTAGCTTCTTAAGGTTTTGTTAAATCATTATAGCATTATACATAAAATTGAATGTAAAACTTTTTTCTATTTTTATTGCTCTAAATTTATTTTTTATTCCTTTAATTTTCCTCCCTCTCTCTGTATTCCAGGTAAATGGTGGGGTCCACTCAATCGCCAACCCGTCCTTGCACTCCACGGCTGGCAAGACAATTCCGGCACTTTCGATCGTCTTTGCCCACTACTGCCCGCGCACATTCCCATACTCTGCATTGATCTGCCTGGTCATGGCAAGTCGTCACATTATCCCAAGGGTATGCAGTATTACGTATTTTGGGATGGTATATGTCTAATACGTCGTATAGTGCGTCGTTATGGCTGGGAAAAGGTTACATTAATGGGGCATTCCTTGGGCGGTGCACTGACATTCATGTACGCAGCTTGTTATCCCAGTGAAGTGGAAAAACTGATTAACATTGATATAGCCGGTCCGACAGTGCGTAATATTGAACGAACTGCAGAAACCACAGGCTGGGCATTAGATAAATTCTTAGACTACGAAACATTACCGGAAAATAAGCTACCATGCTATAGTTACGAAGAAATGATCAAATTAGTTGTAGATGCCTATGATGGTTCGGTAGATGAAGCATCGGCGAAGGTGCTAATGAGACGCGGCATGTTGGCAGCGCCGCCGGAAATGAAAAAAGATGGATTTAGTTTTGCACGTGATCTACGTTTAAAAATCAGCTTACTTGGCATGTTTACCGCGGATCAAGTTATGGCGTATGCTAAGCAAATACGTTGTAAAGTGCTCAATATACGCGCTGATCCTGGTATGAACTTCCAAAATCCACATGTCTATACGGATGTAATTGAAATAATGCGTAAAAATGCAGAGTTGGTGATATTCGAGAAAGTACCTGGTACGCATCACTTGCATTTGGTTACACCAGAGCGAGTGGCGCCAATTATTAGTAATTTTATATTAAAATCTTAAGTGACAATTTGGCAGTTGGGAGGCTCTAAGCTACATAACATACACATATTAAATAATAATTAAAAAAATATCTATATATATATTTATAAGAAATTCAACCTAAACAAATAGGAAGCTATCGCAACAAATAAGGCATATGTAATATGTATGTATACGTGTGTGTTTAACAAGTACGTTTTAAATATGTAATTGCTCTAAGTGTGAAAACGAAACAAGTATTAAATATATGTACTTCAGAACGTATTTTTAAAACTACGTTCACTCAAATTGACAAAAACAAATGGATGTAAAGTACGCAACAAAATGTAATATATTTCAAAAATAGTAATTTACAATATATAAATCCAACAAACCCATTATTTTTACAACTGAGGGTGTTTGTCCCTATAGTACGGATACTAAGGCATAGTTTAAAATATATAAATTGTAGCTGCGGGTATACACTTCAAAATTTCGTTTGCTGAAAATTATATAAAACATGTATATTTGAAATGCTAGCGTATAATTATATTAAAATACGATGCTAAATGAATGAAAAATTGCACCCTTAGGAAATGCATAAACAACTAAAAAATAAAAAGACAAAAAGCATCATAAAAAACAAAAGTTTATTTGTTTGTGTTTTTATTGTAACCAAACAACCACCAACTCACAAATGCATTTGCTGTTGGCTTGGTAACGACATGTTTTGTATGCAAAGCTTTCAAGGTTCTAATTATTAGTTGACTTCACTATTCACATTGCCTTCAACATACATTAGCCATGGAAATGCGTTCATTTTCTAATTAATTGTTATGAAAAAATCGTAAAAGTAATCGGCCGTTCGGAGAAAATATTGTATGGGGCAATAAAAATGGATGTAATAAGTGAAATTAATGAAAAATATTCCGCTTTGGAGGCTGAAATCGATAGGAGATTGGAGAAAATGTGAGTAAAAATATTTGTTATGTATGTACATTACACACATTTATAGATACATACAGAGTAAAATCGCATATAGCGTGTATTAGTAGTTAAAGTGAATGTTAAATAATTTACGCTAATAGCAAAAATATAATAATAGTTTTGTGATGAAAATTAATATAGGCAAAGTACTCTTGGCCCAAATGATTATTACTTTTGAGCCTAAAAGTATGTTTCAGTGAAAACAGTTAATTGAAACCTGTGCTCTGCAAAAGGGATACCATAAAACTTCCATTAGTTGCACGATTGATGTCAATTATCAATTCAAAACTGCACACCTTAACAAAATTTTAGATTTTTACCTCTCTTACACACAGGAACATACATAGCGACTGCCAGATTGTAGTATCTATTCTAAAGCTGCTTCCAGTGGATGGTAGATCGCTGAAAACTTTGCCGCCCATCCGTAAAACGTAGCTGCTGTCTCCCATTGAACTCGCAAGAAGATCTACACTCCGTTGGAAAGATGGAAAGGAGAAGGGCCCAGCTTCTTGTTCATTTCACGCCTAAAATAAAAAATTACTTGCGCGCTATCAGTGTATCGGCTATAATCGCGTAAGTGGTTCTTACGCCTAAACAGAAATAAGTGAGAAATTCTCATGACCATTCCAGACATTGTGTTTACCCCAGTTTGTCAAAAAATAATACCGACTTCATCAACTCGTTCACTTTTTCCCCAATATGTTTCAATGGTTAAAATTTTTGACGACACTGCATTTACTGCGAATGTTGCCTGGTTATCCGAGTAGATGGTTGCTTTTTATATTGTCCGATATATATATAACTCATGTCTGCAATAGCCGAGTAGTTATCAAATAAAAAAATCATAGTAAATTAATTTTTTTAATTGCTGTCGCCCTTCGGCAGGTAATTTCGAGACCTTCGTGTGTATTTCTAGAATGAAAATCAAAAGCTCCTTATAATAATCCATCACCCGTTCGGAGGTGGCTTAGAATAAACTGAAGGTCCCTCAATTTGTAAGGAGATATCAAAACCGATAACAAAAACCATTGGAGGAGCTCAGACGAAAATCGCTTTAAATGCCAAGAAATAAAGGAACTTACAATTTACTCTAATCCACACCCACCGTGGGTGACCGCAATTAAAAAAATATAATTTTCTAAAATTTTAGTTGTTGACTTGTTTCGAACCCATAACCCTAGTCTAATGCTGAAATGTTAGGATATTCAAAATATATTCCCAGATCTACTCCACAACCCACGCTTGGCCCTTTCCTACACTTCCTTTTGTACATTCAACTATAAAGGGTATGCTCACCTGTAAGCAGGTGTTGTGAGCTGTTTCAGTACATCGCTATGTTTACATGGTTTTTGGTTCCAAGATTTCTAGAGACAATCGACAAAGAAGCATATTAAACATATCTCTTTTCATTTAGTTTCTAAATACTAATCTCACAGTGCAAGGCAAACGGCCTGATAGTATCAATACCTTGAATTGACCTCCTTCGAGTTGTAGTAATATTTCGTTAATCACCGTCCTCCTGAGTAGAGACAAGACGCCACCTCGAGGAGTCCCTCTGCTCACGTAGATTGTTGATATCCCTGAGGTGCTGGGCGTTATAATCGCATCCATTATATTTAAAACCGTGTCGTCTGTGCCGACATGTATCAAGGAAACAACGATTGTGAAACTGTCTATATTTTTAAAGTCTGCTTTAATGTCTAAAAAGGTCGCCAGTCATCAGTGCATAAGATAGGGATTTCCTCATTTTATACCTGTCACGAACAGAAAAGGAGAAGAGAGAGATGCACCAAAATAAACCCCAATGGAATCATAACGACGTTGGAATTGATTCAGTCATTTTACCTGCATCTGCTTGGCTATAGGCAAACTAGCTTCTAAGTTTTTGATATATTTCAACTAACCGTGGTTCATAAATGTATTTTTACACTCGGAGCATTATAACCTATAGTTCTTATACAACACTTTTGTTCGGATGTGAGATTTTAGGTCAAAGGTTAATCAAAAAAACGTCCAAGAGCGTGGAATTTGATATTGTACGCACGTAAATTTAAATAAATATTTATACAGAATGTCAGCTATTATGGTCATGAAAGGTATGAAGACTTTAACATAGCCGAAGACAGTACTTCGCGCGTGTCTGCTTCTATTGACAGACCCTTTATGTATACTGTTGGCGCTTCGAATTTAAGAGTTATATTTTAAAAAAATTAATTAATTTTTTTCTTTACAGTAAAACGGAGGAAAACAAATTGGAAAGATTACAAGAGCAAAGATCGCATAAATCTTCGATACAAACAACTAAAGCTCTCTCATACGAAGAATCAATTTTGAGAAATACCAATTTACTTAAGGTAGATACAAAATTAGTGTATAACTCAAAAGAGATCACCTTTTTAATAAATATGTATATGCTTTATATACATATACATACACGTATGTATGTATGTAAATAATATATATATTCTTTTCAGTCATTGGATATAGCAAAAGCGCGTTTACGTTCACGATCTACTTTCTCGCCAGTTGAACAAATACTGGAAAAGGCCATTGAAAATTATAAACGGGACTTGGAGACGTCACAACAATTATCGTCACGCTTCAAGCAAGTGAAAATCTATGAAACGTCACCAGTCACAGACTCTGCTAAAGGTGTTGGCGGCCAAGAGTAGTTGAGTAAAAGAGAGAGAGACAAACATTTGGACTGGAAAAAATACATTTTCAAGTTTAATATTTATATACTCGCATAAATTATATACAACCGTATAGAACAAAAATTAAACTGTTTAATATAAATGAATAAATAGATTTTTGTTTTTATGTAATATATAGACAAATTATGTACTATATACTCTGACAAACTCGTTTGTTTACAAGCCCTTCAGGTAGGAATTGAAATTTATTACAGTCGATTCGAACAGAGAATGTAGACGATCCATATATGTATGTATATATACACACCCTAGAAATGAATTCAACAGAAACAAGAAAGAAGAGCTGTCTTTTATTTGACAATATTTATTTGTATATACATATGAATGTGTGTAGAATACCAATTCTCACGCTCTTAGATACTTTTCTGACGACAACCACCAATTATATTCTGAAAAATGTACCATTGCATCTCTGTACCAAGTTAGGTTAAAATATCTTAAGAGCTAAGGGTCTAGTGCGTATATAAAACGGACGGTCAGGCGAGCATATGTAAATCAACTGAACTACTTATTATGATTGATGAATCTACAATGCAGGGAAAAATACTAGTTGTTAACTAGAATCCAACTGGCATACATTACATCAACTAGTTCATCTTCCATCTATTTTCCATGCTAACAACTAGTATTTTTAACAAAGCGATGTCGTACGAACTGTCAATTGTCAGTCTAGTTAAATACCAGTTCCCATATACCAGTTAAAATACTGGTTCGTTCATACAAGTTGAGAAGAGTTGGATTCATTCCGGCACTCCAAGCCGTTAAGCCGGTTTTAATAATTTTTGTGTGTGTGTGTTCAGGTAGATTTGGAATGGTTTTGTGAACATTGACTAGGGCCCAACTTATTAAAAAAAACTTTTGGCTTATTTTACTTGATACCTTGTATATTATTTCTATCCAGGAAGTGGATCAGATAGCTATCAAAACACTTGAAGCTTAATTAGGATTGCTTATAATTTTTTATAATTGCGTAAATATAAAAACGCATTAATATTTGGTTGTTGTTTTTATTGGTATAGCGGCAAGTTTAATAATTTATTATTGGAATTTCTAGTTACTTATAAGTCCTGCTTTTTTTTACAAAACTGTAAACTGGTGTGAAATTCTCCTACTTCATACACTAGAATTTTGCGACTTGCCCCAGCTTTCATCAGTTAAATACTAGTCTAATTCTAGTCTTTGACAAACTCGTATATTTTTATCCTTTTGTCCAATTCTGGCTTTAAACAAACTGTTGATGAATTCGTCTTCAAAATACGAGTATTTCACTATAATTCTTGCATACTAGTATACCTTTTACCTGCAGGGTATCTCTTCTTCCTCTGATTATTACATACTTCGTTAACATGCCATTTCATGATTATTAAGGGCATAAAAACGTAATTTGTATTCACCAGTGAAACTGGATATTCACCATTTTTGTTAGAAAACGTTTCAGAGAGATGCTTGCAATGGAATTGATTTTATGATTCAACGCTAGAGAATCTAATCCTAGTTATAAGCAATGACGTCATACGAGTTTCTGTGATTTTCAGTAAAAAACAGAGTCAGAGAATATAAATACACTTTTTATAATTTTAAAGAATGTTCATTACGTATAACTTTTTGGATACCGTCTAAGAGTAATTTTTTAATTCAGCAGCTGTTTAAAAATTGTTAAAACTTAAAATTTGAAGCGTTCTCACATTAGTCTTAATAATGAGTCTCTTTCTTGCTGCCTTGAATTTAAAACGGCAATAAAAAACTAAATACACCTCGAAGGACCTAAATCTATTGTTCAATTTGGACATATAATGCATTTTTATGACCCGGAGGCGAGATGTGTAAGGTAAGGTGAGTATTGTTTTTAGACATGTGGTTTTCAAGAAGACATAAAACGCATACAATTTAACGTTATAGCCAAGAATTCAGCTTTATTATAAAATTAAGGGTACGCAATTATGCTCTAAAAAATTTTCCAAGGCGTCCATCGTCTTGGACTTATCTGTGCAGCCATACGGATTCAAATAACCCCACAAAAAACAATCCAGCGGTGTTAAGTCACACGCTCTCGGAGTGCACGCCAACGATCCACGGCGCGTTCATAAAAAGTTTTCTCCAACAAAAATTGAATGAATCATGGGCTATATGGGATGTAGCGCCGTTTTGATTGAACCAAAGTTCATTCATGTCAACATCCTCCAATTCACGTACGAGTGTGAATTTAATTTAATTGTGGGTCTATAGCGTTCCCCATTGACTGTAACATAATGGCTGGCATTGTTTTTACAAAAAAAAAAAACCAATGATTCTCTCAGCCCACAGAGTTTGCTGAGATCTTTCACTTCTTGAAGAATTTGTGGATTAACATTACTCCAAATGTGACAATATTGTTCGGTAGCCAATTTGTCTTGGGTACATTCACCCAACGAGCAACGCGCTTGATAATCGTTCGGTCTCAATTTTTGCACGGGTTGTATTTTGCAAGCCCGCAAATCTAGATCCTTTCAGAGAATCTTCCATAAAGCTTCTGATGGGCACATACCGATGGATCTTCTTCGATACTTTGTTTCACTGCAGCAATACCGTCTTCGGTGCGCACTGCACGGCATCTCAGAGGATGTGCATTATTCACTAGAGTAAATGCGGTGCAAAATCATTCCTCGATTGCTTGACACCGATTCTGCTGATCACTTTGTGTGATTTAGCGGGAGATAGGGAACCAATGGGAATAATGATAACTGTATATTAAAATAAGAATTGTTATAGAAATAAGCGGGTGCTTCGAAATTTTTTTCTAGAAATTTAATACAGAGGTAAAAATAAACTGAGCTTTTGAGGTTATCTCAATACAAAAATTACTGCTTAAAAATTCGACGTTACTTCTTTGGCTTACGGAGAATCGAAATAGTATTGTATAGAATATATGTATGTATATATATGCGTGCTCTGAATAATATTAGCGAGTATTTTTATTCCATTTATTATTCTAAAATTTTTGTCTATGTATTCCTTAAATTATAACCAAGATATATAAAATTTATATACATAATATACAAGAATATGAAAAAATACGAAACCAAAAACTTCGTTATGTGCACAGTTGTTTCAAAACAAATAACTTGAGCTGAAATAAATTTGGAACAATATAAAAATATGTTCTTGGTAACAGTCGGTGACAGAAGAAATATTTGCTGTTGTTCTGAAAAAAAAAACAATAATAAATTAAAAAAAATCCAACACGACTTAAACAGATTACCTAATTCTATAGTGATTACGAAAAGGTTGAATAATAGTCGCGTTACTGATTGTTCTTCACTGGAATATAAGCGGCGTCACCATCCCCATCTCCAAAAGACTGTAGCTCGTTGCACAATTGCAGGCTTTACACCATAATTGGTTGAAAGCCGGGGACTTATTTCATTCCCCTCTGTGCCGATTATATTTTACCTAGCTTTTGGAGATGATGTCCTACAGGTAAATGCCTCGCCAATACACCTACTCTAGTGCTAGCGAGAGATTTGTCTATCAGCAATCTAATCGGTCCCACAGTAGAATGCCCCAGAATTCTTAAGTGCTCCGCTGGGTTCCACTGTTTTAAGCAACATTTGAAGACGCTGAAAGGTCTGAGGTAGTCAATCGTAAGAGGATCATCAGCGTCGCCAGCACGTGTTTGTTCACCCGCCTTTTCATTGCCATATTCGTGTGATCTGAAATCCATGTGCCGTTCACAGTGTTAATCCATAATAGTTTGTTTACTCCTCTTTGCATGTTCTCACATACTTAGACCTTGTCTTGACGCGCTTAATTGCCATAATTGCCCGCATGACTGTCTAAAAGAAATCTAAAAAAAAGTACCATGTTAAAGCGGTTGCCCATTCGTTCCCTACAGTAATGCTCAAAATCTCTACTTGGAAGACATAGCTTTAGTCATTAATTCTAAGCAGTATTGGTTATGAACCCTATTCATGTGCCTGCCGTGCGTTTGAACCCATCAGCATATGGGAGGACATCTTCGGTGTTATCGTTGGCCTTGCCTTCCGCCTATTCTACTCTACTAGGGAATGGCAGAAGGTTTTTTTTTCTCAGTAATAATGTACGTTTAGGCCGAGGTCTCTTATAACATTCTGTATGCCGCCATGTTCTTCACAGTTGGGAGCTCGACCAAGCTGTTTATAATATTTAAACAGAGTTAGCGCTGCTTCATAAGTCAATTGTATGCTAATTGGCCTTATGTTAAAGACGACTTCCAGGGCATTTTTGAGGTTGTTCTAGAGTTGTAAGAAGAAGTGCCTCTTTAATGTCGGCCACCACACTAGTGATCCATGCATTAATATAGGTCTTACGACATTTATGCAGAGTCAATTCACCATTTTCGGTCGCAGGTCGCGTTTTGGCGCAATAGAGCTGTTTTTTAAGTATTCCAAATTCCGAGTGTGTTATTAGTGTTTCTGTTCTGTGTGTTAAATTTAACAAAAGCTCAGTTGGCCAGAAAAAAAATATATAAGGTGTACAACTTTACTTCCGCCGTTTTCCGATATGTGGATGTACCGGCTGGTTGAAATACATAGATGATAATGGCTTTAAAAGTGTGGACAGTGCCTAACGAATTGTCATCGCCGTTTCTGTGACAGTTGATCTTGTTTTCGTATTATTCACGCTCGAAAATATCAGTTTATGGGCCCAATTCTCGAAATAAAATGCAGCTGAAGCGCATCGAATGCTCTCAGAAACTTATGGCGATGCTGCTCTGAGTGAAAGAACGTGTCGGGAGTGGTTTCAACGTTTTAAAAATGGTGATTTCGATGTCGAAGACAAACATGGTGGTGGAAGAGAAAAAACCTTCAAAGATGAACAACTAGAAGCATTGCTTGATGAAGAAGCTCTTAAAACCGGGTGAAACCATCACAGGAGATTGCTACCGAACGCAACTGATCCGCCTTAGTCACGCTCTAAAAGAAAAGCGGCCACAATAACAAGAGCGACATGACAAAGTCATCCTCCAACATCACAATGCTCGGCCTCACGTCGTAAAAGTGGTCAAAAAGTACCTGGAAA